TGTCGCGGGTGCCATGGACCCACACATAGACAACCACAAATTATACCCAAACTCACGAGATAAATAAAAGTAGGCCATACAAATATTTCTCCCGGCCCGGGAACCGAATCTGGGACCTATGCGTGGCAGTCCGGCATGGTAACCGTTCGACCACGGAGGCAGAGTTATATTATGATATAGCCCAAGAATGTACAAGACAGAAGGCACCATAACACTTTTTTCTTCGTTGATAACAAAGCCTAAGGGCAATAGAAGCTTTTCAGTAAGCCAATGCTTTTCAGTATAAAACAAGTTACATAATTAAACATTCTTCTCGAGACCTCCCTAATAAAAAGATATCATCGAGATACCCGGTGGAAAGAAGCCTGCTAACCTGAGTAATTTTAAAACAGGTTTCATAATTTTTGTAAATACAAAAGGTGCAGTATTTAAGCCAAAGGGCAACACATTAAATTCGTAAATTTTATGTTTCCAGGAAAAACGTACAAATTTTTTTGAATCTTGGTGTATTGGAACTGAACAGTAAGCATCTTTGAGGTTGATTTTTGTCATGTAACAATTTTTACTAGTTCGAAAATCTTCTAATTTGAAGTAAGCAGTATTAGTGAATTTATGGAATTTTTTTAAATTTAAAATGAACCTGTGTTTACCATTTGGCTTAGGTACCAGAAAAATATTTGAAAAAAAAATTTTTTTTCTCCTGGGTCACATTGTGAAATAGCTCCTATAAAGAGAAGATCGTCAATACCCTCTTGAATATGTTTTTTGTCCGAAGAAGAATTATCACCTTGAATTACGGATGAGGTTACAGGAATTTTATTACCTCGATCAAGCTTAAAATTGTAGGGTCGTTAGTTATTTGAGACCACTGATGTATAAAGTTTGATAATCTACCTGTATATTTTACCTCGTTTAGCGATGGCTGCGCTTGGAAGTCGGCAGAGAGCTCTTCGATGAGCTGACGGGCTGATTCTTGGGAGCAGGTAGGCGAGATCTCGCGTTCCCTGTCGACCTGTGGTTCGAGGGAAAACTCTTCGAGTTTCAAGTTGTTTTATTAGTATTCGATTTCCAGGTGTTCTGCTTCGTATAGCTTGGAGTTTGCTTTCGCTCTGCACTTGTTTTTGTTATAGCTTTCGCAGATTTAAGCGTTTCGGCAATGTTCTTACCAAATAAATGAGAATACATTTTTGTAAGTAGTAATTGATCTTTCATTTCTTTTTTCAGTGAGGCAAGGATCAAGAACCTTCTTGTTAAAGAGTCACTGTATTGAGTGTCACAAATAATTCGACCTGCATCCATCAATAATTTTAATAAATTAGGATCTCTATTGTTCTGGGAAATTAATACGGTAATTGCTTCACATAGACATGCAATTGCACTAGTTACTTGTCGATACCACCAATGAACACTACGCCATCTTTATTTTTTGGTCATCTTCTGTTACTTTTGTAAACAGCCATATTTATTTGCCTTAGTAAGTATGGCTGCTTAATATAATCTTAATTGTGCTCCCTCAATTTTGTGAAAAAAAGAAACAAGAACAAAAAAAACTAATTTTGTAAAAAAAAAGAAACAAAAAACAAAATAAAAACAGAGCAGGTCCAAAAATTAAGTTGGCTTAGTGTTCATTGAAGGTATCGTTGTTTTTGTTTCTGCTCCATGCCGCCAAGTCTTTTTAATGTTGTTTTTTATATAGCCGCTTTGACTTCGGGATTTATCTGCGGAGCATCATTTAATAAGCAGTTAGCTGGAACCGGATATTATTCTCGTAATTCCTCCCGAGTTTATTTGCTGAGTGCATTTGTGGCTATATGATCGAATCTTACAGCAAGTTCTTTTTGAATGTTTTTGCCGAGTGTTTTCTGTACAGAAGGGTATCTAACTTCTCCAAGGATATTTGACATATCACTGCTCAGCTCTGACACTACCAAGGGATCAACATTCGAAAGCAAGGCGAGCGGTTCGTTAGTAGGACCTATAAGATCAATTATCTCGTTTGAGATAATAGGCTCTGCTGTTGTAGACGTAAGGTGCTGTGTCGCGAGACAAGTCGTCGCTGCGGGACTGAGTTGTTGAGCGTGAATTTGCACTTGAGCAACCGCGGTGCTCGATATATTATAACAATACGAACCACTTTCATTACTAGCAAGGGCGCCGCAAATAACGCAGATAGAAAATAATCAGCGCAAAGGCTATAAAAAAAACACATGAACACGTGTCTTCAAAATGAATAGGTTTGTTTATGATGCGCGAACACGCACTTGCTAAATTATAATTTATATTGTGTGCGTAAACACACTTCCATATTAAATTGGTAATTTTCATAGTTAAATTACCGAAAAAAAAGTATACAACTGCGAAAAAGCATAAGTATTATGCGCAATCACGCATTGCAATTGTCAAAATGTTTATCGCGTTGTTGAATGTACCTTCTGATGGGCGAACCGGAGCAAAGCGAGCGTTAACGTAGTTGGCGCAGTTCACTACGATGCGATGACGGTGCAGGCGATGCACATGACGACGATCTTGATAAATCTGAGGAACTTGATGATATAACTCGTACACGACGGAAACGGTTTCGTTCCAATTTTATTAATTTTCTCTTTAGTTCACTGATTTCAAGAGCATCACTCTTGCGTTTTCTATTAGGCATTGTTTTTTATAGGAAGTATATATACTACGATGTTATATGAGAGCGGAGAACTTGCGAAGTAGCCTGAGCACGTAAACACGAATGAGAACAGGCAAGCGAACAGCGCGTCACGGGCCCTCGGCCTCGCCGGCGGAGGAGAGAGCGGTGGTTTTTATTTTTCTACCTACAACTAACGTGCAAAAGTGGCCGCACGTATGCGATACTACAAGTACTATGCTAATCTCAAAGGACGAATACGAGTATAATATCAAACAATTACTGTATACTCAGTTATGACCAAGCCCACATAGTATGATGCTTAGACTGTGTTTTTTTCCATCCTCTAAGGTATGCTGGCTATTTTGTTTTGACAGATTATAATGGTAAGGTCAAATCTTAATTCATTATCGAAAAAAATATAATCGAATGCGGGTCACATTTAAAAGTTTTTAGATTTATGACTAGAATTGCAAGGGTTGCAAGTTTTAATAAAACGAAAATAAAAATACTTTTTTTTTATATAATATATGCGTTATTATTCTAAGGATATATGTATGTTTATCGCATTCGCTCTGGACCTTTTGGGGGAAAAGCGTCGTTTTTATTTTGACTTTCAATTATTTTGTGAATTCTAGCTTAAAGTGGAATAGGATAGTGCTATTGTGCCTCAATCGAAGATTAAAACGCGAAATTATACGAATCTCGAACTAAAATACCCGTATCGGCCCGTTTTAAGGAATCCCGAGTCAACCCAAGCACGCCGCCTCAAATTGCCTATCCTCTTTGTGACAGCCATGTTTACAGAAACATAATTAAACTTCATGTTTAGGCTGATGGCTTTGCCAAAGCCTTAATAAATTTAAAAAAAATGTATATCATCAATTCGAAACTGCTTTGTTTTGCATTGAGCTTTGACGTGAGTTTGCCGGAGGTAGAAGTTGTACTTGCCACCGATCCTATAGGTGACGATCGTATTAGAATATTTTTTTTTTCAATTTCGGATTTTGAACAACAAATGCAGAGTTGTGTCGTAAAATTATACATTCCATAAATTTTGCTGCACGTCACTTTTGACAACAATGTAAAATACAGCAATTAACTCCGTCAGCGTATTATGAAACTTATGAGTGGACAAACGTCAAAACGACCATCATAGTGTGCCGTTACTATAGTGATGAGTGAGAGTGAGTGAGTAATGCACCATACATACCATAATAAATTATCAGTTCAACCTAAAACTCTAGACAAGGCTCTAGACAGACAGACTGCATTACAACTGCACTCCGACTGCAAATTTGCAGTTAGAATGCTGGTGGTCCAACTTTTTTTTTTTTTTTTTTTATACATGACAGGCAAATGACTCCACTCCACCTGATGTTAAGTGGAAAGTGGTATCCAAACGCGAAGGAACCTAGTGCAGCGATGAAATCCTCACTGCACTAGCCACCTCCACCCTGCCTGCCTACAATATGCCTTTTCACGCCTCGTTTGAAGGACCCCATATCATAAGAGGGAGGGAAGACATGTGCCGGAAGGGAGTTCCATTTGTCAACCGTGCGGCAGAGAAAGGAGCCACTGCAACTCGACCGTGCAGCCCTATTGCAGTCGGTGTGCAGTTGGCACGCAGAACTAGAACCTAAAGCCACCAATTCTAGCTTGGTTTCAGCAACATAATATTCCTCATGAGCTAAGTGCTCTTCTACGCTCTGATTATTTTTAAGTTCATTCTGTCGACCTCCATGATTGCTTGGAATAAATTGCCATCTGGCAAAAAGGCCGCTTATGGGGACAAGCGGCCTTTTTGCCAGATGACATGTGTTGGTTTTTGCATTTGTTCTTGTATTTTCATTATTGACTTTACCAATTAATTAAAATCACTTGGATGTTTTTTTTTATATAACAATTTTGGCGAATAGAACCTACTATTAACTAATTCACGAATAGTGGGTAATCAAATGTTATATAGATGCTGTGGTTCTCTAGTGTGGATTGGTGCTGCGTTATCCCAGCGGCTAGCATGAAGTAATAAATCACTGTTTAACTTTAAAACGGCGTATCGTAGATCGTAGTATAGATTAAGTATCTACTTTTTTGCTACTAGAACTGATTAATTCATGACTTTTTAGCTGACTAGTCAAAGTTTAAAACTCAATTGTAGTGACACACTCTAATTTCTACCAGAAAAGAAATTATGACAATTCTGAAGTGTGTGCTGATGAACCGAGGTGATGGGAAACTTCGCTACCCTTTCTAGATTATCCTCTAACCCGTCGCAAAATTTGTGTTCGCGTGACAGATGTTTTCGTTTAAAAACATTGAAAAGATGAAGGATTTTGTAAAAATGAAAGTCCCAATAAAGTAACAAACACTATAATATCCTGGAATTGAGCGGGTCCACCATTTTGCCGGCCATGAGCGCCACGTGGATGCTGGCGTCCATCACGAAGTAAAGGAAAGGGTAAGTCGCCATGAACTTTATAGGCTGCTGGTTGGTCACGTACCCTGTGCCGAAATTCCACTATGAATTCTTCTTGAGAGGACGAATGACTCTTATGAGATAGGTATACAAGGCGTCTATGGTACTAAAATATAACGTGCTTCGACATCGCAACTATAATAATGTGGGTACCGTCATATACACAAGATACCTGACCCCCAATCGACTTTGTGGACCTTTTGGTACTGAGCACAAAAATGTGGAGAAAATTGTTAAAGAAACTTAATCTTTAACTTGTGAGCCGTAAAATTTATTTTGGTATGACTCCCTGGTCGTCTCATTAGTTAATGACATTGTAAGAAAGTTTTAAAGCCAATTTGATCTTTAACGTATAGTTCTTACTTAAATACAGATTATAAATTTCAACCAGCTATAGTAAGGTCGTCGTGGCCTAGCGGTTTATGGATTGCTTTGCAAGTTGAGGCAAGCATGGTTCGAGTTACATTAAAAATAAAATATTATTTGGCTATGATTATATAATATAGTATTTTTTTTGTGTTTAACCTCAGGATAGGTGTAAGGAATGTCTAAGTCTTGTTCATATGAAACAATAATTTCTAATTTTAATAATTCCGTTAAGTAAGGCATATTATTAAAACAAGAAAGAAAACTTTGAAAGTAATTAAAAGTGAATTAAATGGGAACGAAACGCGGAACAATGCGTAATCATCGAAGACACGATCGTATGCAAACTGCAGAACGATTTCGTGATTTGTTAATCTATCCATATCCTCTAAGATCCATACCCACCCTACGCTTTATTAATAATATCTACCCACTTTAAGTAATTTGTAGTGAGCAAATATTGCGATTTGTCACCGTTAACATTAACAAGTGAAACAATGCTGATAAAAATATAATGATTAAACAAAATAGTGCTCGTAGAATCGAACCACGGATATTGTAACTAGCAGTCCATACAACAAACCGCGTGACCAATTTTCTTGGATGTTAAGTCACGAAATTTAATATTGGTTTTAAAAATAAGTTGATCATCTTCAAGCAACACTCCGCTGTATTACTTACATGATAAAGTTGAAATTGCTTCAATTTTCTTTGTTCAATACGTAAGATGGCTCTCAGAAACAAAAGGTCGGTTTGTGTACGTTAGGGGGTCAGGTATCTCATGTATATGACTATACATTTGTTATTTAAGAATTGTACACTCAATGCAAATTTCTATATTTCTATTCATTTAAATTCATTTGTAAAACGGGGCACAATTTTTGTTTAGGTACTTACAGGAAGGTAAAGTTTTATTGGTTTATAAATAAGTAGATCGTTTTAAAATACGGAATAAATTAATTCCACCTCTAAGACACTTTTATATTATTGTATTTGGATCAACATCAGCTGAACTATAAGCGCCAGAAAAAAATGTCTACATATTACATTTATTTATTTATTTTCGATTGATTGCAGTAAGGACACGATTCACCCTTTAAATTAGATTAGCTAATATCAGTGAAAGCTCATATGTATGTTTGTTAACGTTTACAAACAATATTTATTTCAAAACGATGCACTTGTTTGAAATACTAGCGTTCATATCAAAATCGCTGAATCTAAATAATTCAACAGATAGCTGGCTGCCGGCGACAGGAAGCAATCATCCAGTAATTTCACTAGTTACGATCATTTACGTAATTGAAATCAACTATCAGGGAATCATCATTTTCATCCCACGATTAAGCATTTAGGTCGCAGTAACGTTGATGCTGCGATTTCGTTTATTGTCGCTGGTTCCTAGCGTACCTAGACCGCGTAGCGGGGCGCATACCGCGAGAGGGCGGCGGCCCGGTGCATCAATGGACGCAAATGCGCGTGTCGCCGTGTTGCGCCACCCGCCGGCCGCCGGCAGCCGACCGCCGAGACAATGGATGCAGCGCGAACTACTCTCGCCACTTTGCACCTCGGTTTTTACACACTTTCGGCAACAATTATCTCACTCCCTGCACCGGAAAACGAGGACACCGGGCGGCATTTTGATCGTATAATTACCATTTGAGATTGCTAGAGACAGATTAGTGGACTAGCTGTTGACATCGTATCACCGGCAATTCCTCAATTTCATTTTATACTTATGATCTACATCATAGTGATATAGATGACAGTAACGTTTAACCTTATTGTAATGTAGTCATTTTGGATTATCATGTCCTTCATGGTTGTAGATTTAATTAATTGTGGAAAATCAATTTTGTAGATTTTCGGAGCGCGTCAATGTCACAAGGATTTTCCGGCGGAGGCGCCGGCGCGTGACGGCGCGTTGCGATCCCGGTCTTGCTACGACCCTGCGACACGCGTGGTCTGCATACGATGTTGCTCATATTTAACTTAACCGTAGGTTAACCTAAATCATTAAAGATTATAATAACACGTGTTACTGTAACATAATATAGACACACTTTCGTCCTAGGTTCGTTTAACGTTTTAAAGTAGTCGATGGAAGTAAATAATATGATATCTCACCCTTGGTGTAATAATAAGGCTAAATCTTCAAAATGACAACTTTTCAAGAGAGAAGTTAAAGATTCTACGAATGAAATTGGGCGATAATTTTTTATGCTTAAATAGAAGAGTTATAAAATTTCACATACGTTTCAAGTAGTTCGTAGGTATTATTTTTATGACTTTCTTTGTTTATGACTTATGGATAAAAGCACTTTAACGTATGATTACAACGTATGATTACACGTGGCTTTATTTTACCAAGGGTGGATATTAAGTACCTCTTATGGATTTCCTTCGTTAGAAAACTACAATACATTATAGAGCTTACAATTCTTCTTCTGGTCTTCGGGTTGATACTTGCGGATGGCAACAGAGACAGCTTGCTCAATGCTGCGAACGTATACGCCCGGCTGGTGTGTCATCGGCGTAAAGTCGCGTTGTCTCGGTTCGAACACATCTCTGATGCCCAACTGGGGAAGGGATCACAACTACTACAATTACTATGTTACACATATAAATTAACAAACTCCCTACTTACCTACCTGTAGATAATATCAACTACTACGTAACGTGCATTCCTGATTAGCATAACAATTTGTTATGTTAATGTGTGTTGTTATATTCGTTATTAAAAGCGTCTAAACGTTGCGAACTCATTTTCAATGTATAGAGCTATCTCTACCATAGCTCTATAGCTATTATAGATTTTTCAGTGAACTTCTATACAAAAAGAAAAAGAAATGCTAAGCAACCTGTTTATCATCAAATTTGGTCTCAGTTTTATATAAATAATAACGTATAGGTAATAAACAGAAAATGTATTTTCAGAATCAGCTTGGATAGCTCAAAATACCTACAGATTATGTAATATATCAAACATACATGACTTTGACTTGAGCCATCTCAAGTCAAAGTAATAAAAACTGGTAAGTACCTAATTTAACCATCATTTTGTGTACAAAACTTAGTGAGTAAGCATAGAACTTCCACCAAACTTACTTGCCTAATTGCACGTTTCCATCTCCTATCTACTTTACTGCACCGGGTGTGTGTGTGGGGGGGGGGGGGAGATTGGGTATAATCCAAGAAGTTAAGTGCTACTACACTATAAACTGCATTGACCGTGAATTGCCGGATACAATTATTTTGATTGCCGAAGTTAATAATAGAATCGGTAACTTACGAATCTTGTGGTACGTAAATTTTATACGTATACACTACGTTTATACGATAATAGAGTTTACATTTGGTCCATCAGTATTAAGTTTCCTTTTGATGCATTGAATGAAAAATCTGATATTAAAATACCTTTTGCAAATCCGTTGTTAATGTCACATGCCCCTTCACAGTGAAGCTGGGTACGATAGCCCTGACTCGACGAGGTCTCAACGTGGAGTACACGTCAGAAAGGTCTGATTCTCGTGCCATTCTTGCCAAGAGTCTTCCTAATTCCGCTGCACCTCCTCTTGTAGGTAATATAACCAATAGGTAATATCGTTCGCTATCCAATGGGAGACGCAGAGCAGAAGCTTCCAAATGCGGTAAATATGCATATTCTAATATGGTATCATAGTTCATGTAAGTAACCTGTTGATTATGATTAAAACATTAGTAACATTATATATCTACATACTTACTTGCAAGCTACTTGGATTCTTGGAACTCACCCGAACGTTTCTTAAACCATTTACTAAAAACATAGAGTTATCAACATTTGAACCCGGCGGCGCATCTGGTACTACCGGTATGTCATAAGATCTGTAGAACAAATAATCGTCCACGTATGGCGGATTTGTGTAAATAAAGTTTACTATTGATTTCTTCTTTCGCTCTAATGTCTCTAAAGCAGAGTCATTACTAATAGTAGCTATTGTGGGATTTGTAGTAATGTCTGTAGATGATACAGTTTGAGTTTCTTGGGTTTCTGATATTACAACTGTCGTACTTTCAGTACTTGTACTTTCAGTGGTAGATTGAATTGTACTCTCTGCTGCGGTGGATTGAGTAGCCGTTGTCGACACATCTGAAGTAGATATAACGTCTACTTCGTTATTCACTGTGGCTTCCTCTGCTGTCGCTATTGAAATTGATGTAGTTGCCGGTATAGATTCTGTTTCATCAGGTGCGTTGGAAAGAACAGTCGTTGTCAACTCATCCGGTATAGGTACTTCAGTCATCATTGGTGTTGTGTTAGCTTGTGTTATTACTGTACTTGCTTGAGCAGTTGTTTTAGAGCTCGTTTCTGCTGACACAATAGTTTCTTGATTGACTGGACTAAGTGTAGCAAGAACAGTGGTGCTTTCACTGTTAGGCGCAGAAGAAGGACTTATTGTAGTCGTCGGGGTGGGACCGCGTATGTCAACGTCACTTAAAGTTTCTGCATTCGGATTTAATGTGGTTAAAGTAGAGCTAGTGTCTTCACGAGCTGGAGGGCTTTCAGAAGTCACAGGAGTGGATGTATTACCACTCTCTGCGGGTGCTGCTGTCATCACTCCCGGAACCGCGGTAGTGGTACCATTCGTACTGTTAGTTGATGTCAGAGTTGGCAGCTGATCATTATTGTCCAGATCAAAACCATAAAACCGCAGCACTTTTTTATATCCTTCATTAAAAGTAACGTTTTCGTTGTTTAACGCCAAACCTGCAAGAAATCCTTCTTCTGGAACGAAGTAGGTCTGAAATTTCAAAAACTTAAGTCAATTCAAGTAGGTAATGCGTAGTACCTACTAGTAATATACTACATACCTATCTATCTGATGCTATCACGCTTTAAGTTAAATGAAGAAAGGCAAAAAATGTAACGTGTTAGCTTATTCAATACATCGTGAAGTGCTTATTATACTTATAGACCAAATTTTAACATTTTATTAGCCAAATAGAAGCATCGGAAGTCATTTGGCGACAATGCCAAAAGAAAGGCATTGACTACCGTGTTTCCCTTCCATTCTGTTGCTATTGTCAGCGGCTGATTAGTTTTATACAAAACTAAAGCAATATCTAATGCCGGTGGACATTGCCCTAGGAGCATAAAGGTATTTTATAGCACAGTTGGTTAAGTACCAACACAACATTATTATATTTTGATTCATCGTTCTCATTCTAAATTTCCTTCAGCCACAATACGACTTAAAAGTTTATTAAAAATAAACCTTATACGAGTATTGTTATCCCAAAAATGTTATTTTCAAAGATCATTAGGTACTTTATTATTGAGAGTGCGATATGATGAATGATATACATTTCACGACGTAAAATGATACGGGCAAATAAAAAACATTATTATATACGAAGGTAAAGATTCTTTAACCATTGGTCGTCTGAAACTAACAATGGGTTAAACATGAATCAGGGCAATTTACAATCTGGGACCTGAACTATCTTTGAAGAAGAAGTTTAAAGAAATTCTTATATCTTATCACATTACATTTATGAAAATGTACCTAATTTATATTAAAGAGAAGTTTGTTTTTAAACTTAGTGGTAGACATAATATTAATACGAGGAATAAAAATAAATTTGCAGTGTCTGTTACTCGTTTTCACAAAGTCACAAATTCATTTAAGGGGCAATTATACGCTTCTACTTTATAATAAGATTTCGGTTGATATTTAAGTATTCAAAATTTGTCGTTTACGAGGTCTAAAACTATAGTAAGACAAAAATTGGACATTATACAGCTTTTTCAAATTGGGATGACAAAAATCCATGGTAGTAAACACGTTTAGCTCTTGCAGGTTGTCACGACCTACGGTATATAAAATAAATATTATAAAGTGATTGTAAATGAAAAATCTGTACAAATGTTGTTGTTCAAAATGATTTCGAAGTATAGTAATTAATATATATATATATATATAGTAAAGTAATATATCTTAATTACTAAGATCTATATGTACGTATTTTTGTGGAGGAATAAACGTTATTATTATTATTATTATTATTATTATTGTTATAGTGATATCTTTTAAGACTCAAGGGGAACGTCATCAACTCATTTATATATAGCACTGCTGGGCAAGGATCTCCTCTCAAGCTAGAGTTTGGGCCATAGTCCGCCACACTGGCCCAATGCGGTTTGGGGACTCCACACGTTTCTGAGGGTTATGAACCTTCATCGACGTGTAAGTTTCATCACGATGATTTCTTTCACCGAAAAAGCTTGTGGTAAATTTCAATTAAATTTCGCACCTCAATTTTTTTTGAGAATCTCAGATGTGCGAGCCCGGATTTGAACCCACGGCCTCTACTTGAGAGGCAGTAGGTCAAACCATTAGGCTGCCAAGGCTTATAAACAAGGTTAAACTATGTACTTTATATCCTTTTAACCTGGATACGCAGGCCCGTCTATTCTCCACAAAACGGAGTCCCTTTCACTTGATTCCGACTTTTCGTGATATATCCATACCGATAGCCGACCGTCTCCAGCTACTTGGAATGGACCTGTCGCCCAATCTGAACTTCGGCAAATACATTGAATCCATGGCCAAAAATGCAGCCAGAAAACTTGGCATCCACCGGGACAGTTGCTTCAGCTGTACCAAGCACAAGTCCGGTCGTGTATGGAGTACTGCTGCCACTTATGAGATGGATCTGCTAAATACCAACTGGCCACCTTGGATTCAATCGACAAGCGTGCCAAAAGGCTTACAGGTGACTTGAAATTAGTAGAGGCGAAGCTGCAGATCTTTGAACACCGCCGTAAAGTTGCCTGCTTATCGGTATTCTACAGGACATATCACGGGGAGTGTGCGATGGAATTGCATAATTTGATTCCACGTTCCCCTTTCCATCATCGGGGTGAGTAGACGTGGGCTGGGATTCCACCCCTACGTTGTGGATATTCCCAGGAATCGCACGAAGCGTTTCGCCTCCACATTTATATGGCGAGCGGCTAGATAGTGGAATTGGCTACCTGCGGACTTGTTCCCCGAACGCTATAACTTTTTCAAGGCAAGAGTGAATAGGCATTATTTAGGTGTGCGTGCTACATCGTCGACTTATTATCACTTTCCATCATGTGAGATGGAGGTCAAATGCGCACTTATTATATATATATATATATATAATAATAAGAATGTATATATAATATATTATATTATATATACATTCGTATATATGTAGAAATATATTTAAGGGCTTGTTTAATTGCAATTAAACAAGTTTCACTATACGGCCTCCTCTGAAATCGTCAAAAATAGGAACATACCTGTATCAATAAATTAGAAACTGCTATTACCTACATAGGTCTTCCGGTGCGCGTTTTGAAGAAGTAAGGGTGGCAGTACCACAACCACACTCCAAATGCGTACGATTAGACGTGGAGTTGTGGAAACAAACATGTACCTACTTACATGACTCATAGACACGTACAACACCATCATACGGTTATTATAACACTTTTTTACATTGTTTGAATTTAGACAAGACTCACTTTTAAAGTGCGATGAATATCTCTGAAGCCTATCCTCATAACGTTTCTGTTCCACGGTAGCTGCATCGCTCGCTGGATTTGGTACGAAGACTCACTGTCTACGCCCTCGTAAAGTGCGACGAGGATTCCCATTAATCCGTAAGGCGAGAACGCAATATTGTTGTCATTCAAAAAGTTGTGTTCAGCTAGCACTTCCAGACCAAATCCATTAGTAACATCCACCATGTGTGCAAGTGGCGTTCGCCCTGTGTCCCACAATTTGATTTCTACCGGTACCCCGTAATCGTAACATAAAGTCATTTTGAATGTAGCGAATAGATAGACAAGCCCCGCGATGACGCCTACGGCGGCGCAACGAACGCGTCCGCCCACGGACATGGTGATCGCGGTTCTGACACCGCTTCAGTGACCACGGTCCACGTTTGGGCTAATCTTGTGGCTAATTAGCATTGAGCCCCGGACTCGGTGAATGCCCTCGCAAACTTAAACCACAAAAGTTCGGGAAGGAATCGTAATGCTAACCGTGTGCTCTCGTCATCAGTTACAATTATTTAAATAATCGCGTTCGCATATTCTGGACTGGAAAACTTCTTTGTTCACTAATGTAACAAGGAACTTCATGCTTAAAGTAATGTATTTGAATATGCTAGAAGTAGAATTTGTATTTTTAATTATTCAGTGAAATTAAAATGTCAAAATCTCTTTAATGGGAAAGCCAAATACACTTGAAATCGTCACATTGATTAAACACTATTTATTTGTAAAGCAGATATAGAGAATTAATTACTTTTGATTTCTTTGGATGTTTCCGTAGTATTTTTATATCCCACAGGATTTAAATGCTTTATGATTATAACTCATTGGGTGCGTCACAACAGTATCAGTATTATCATAGGGTCAAAAATTTGACCGTGTAGAATAGTAGAACAGATAGATATTAACTACCTGGCAGAAATTTCTATGTCACGGGGATGTTACGGGCGTATTTTAATTTTGCAAATGATCCTCTTTCTTTATTAGCCCATGTATGTTACATCTAACTACTGCGCACGTGTCTGTAAGTAGAGAGTGTAAGTTATAGTTCACAAAACTCATAATTTTTCCCATATTTTTCCTGTAGTGAGCCAGATCCCAAGCCACTGCCTATTAGTCGATCACACTGCGATGAGCTGGAAGTAAATTGCAAGTCTAATTGCAATCCTCCGGTTGGACCTGTAGGGCTAGTACGATAGGGCGCGACTTGCGCGAGAGCGATATAGAAATGTGCGTTCTCTATGCAAAGCCACCAATACAGTAATGTTGGCCCAGCGTTGCAGAGTGAAGGCCAATACCGACGTGTTGCTTATGTGCCTTGCCCTGCCGGCTCTTGGTGTCGCTCGCCTAGCTGGCCGAGTGAAGGCGAGCGCCAACGTGTATAGACCTCATTTAGCGTGGTTGGTCACAATTCACTGTCGCTCGTGAACACTTTATTTTTGCCATCCTCTGAAGTGACCAATTATCTCACTTCGGAGCGGTGTTAGTTTTTCTGCACCAATCAAAGGCCTGCGTTAGGCCAATAAATGTTTACACATTTGTGAAAAATAACATAGTCAAATTAATAACTTTTGTAAGTACCATGTTACTTTTTGTTCATATTCATATCTTAGTGACATGACCATGGGACCTGTAAAGCGCCTGAAACGTTGGTTTACTTGAAAAAACAAATATACCGAAAAATTTATTCATTTCCAAAGTTTTGAAACGTTAATGGGTTGGAAGTGATTACACGTCGTATACGTATGTATAAACTGCTCAATGGTCCACAAACAATGTTTTTCATTTCCATTATCGAATTCACCGCGTCAAGTACCTACTCCACGAAACAAATCGTCTTGCGCTATACAAACTTGCAAAAAATCTCTCCTGCTTCCAGTCTAGCCAGGGTGGAATTACATTTACATTTGCAATTACATATGTAAGGAACATAAGCCTATTTTTTACATTAATTGCTAATTTTCTGTTTTATAACACTTTTTTCACAATGATCACATTGATTCAATTTATCGATTACATAAAATATTTGAAAACATTCGAACATTTGACCTATGCATGCCGTTGAAGTTCCAAGTTCCCTATTCATTAACAGGCAACCATCGAAATTCAGATTGAGACACAGACATAGTATATCTAGATCACAGACATAATCTAGATAGACGCCGCAAGTGTACGTACTTCGCGTGCCCAAAGTAAGTGAAATTCACTTAGTTGCCGCTGCTACACTACAGAACGTGCTCGACCGTTATCGTAGATAAACACTATTCGAAAACGCGAAAAATATTGTGCGATAATAAACTGCAAAGCACCATAACTGTGGGTAAACGGGTAAAGATTTTACAATATTTTGTCAGCAGTAACATTTTCATTTGTCTTGGCATTCATCAATTTGATCAATTACCAACAGAAAACCATCTAGCAAAATTAATGAAGGCATTACCAACAGAAAACCATCTAGCAAAATTAATGAAGGCAGCCGCAAGTTCATATATTGACGTGCGTTTTCTTTATTTAAGTTAATCGATAAGATCTTCTATTACAAAAAGATGTTATATATTAAGCTCATTTTATTGGAAGGACAATAATTTCAACATTTGAAGTCGATTAAAAATTAAAATCTTAATTTTTTTAAATAATAACAAGTAAAATAAAGGACGTAACTATTATTATTCTACTATATTATTATTACGACTATTTGTAATTAATTAATACTCTACTAATAAAAAAATATTATATTTAGAATCGATTAATTGAATGAAATACGCGTGTTTACGCGCATTCCGTTCAATTAATCGATTTAGAGCGAGCGGCAGGAGGTTTCCATCATTAAATAGTTCATGTGACGTCTAGTGGATACAAAAACTGTGGCACGCTCGGTTTTCATACAAATTGCTGTACTTGCGGCGTCTATCTAGACATATGCATGTCTGTGATCTAGACAGATGCTGCAAGTACTTAAAAACAATTAATTATTGATTAAAATGCGTCGCTGCGGCATCAAGGGGTGCGGCAGTAGAAAAGGCGGAAATCAACCGAACGATGCATGTAGATTTTCGCTAAAAGACAGTAGAACCGTATATGTGGTCCAAAAACAGTAGATCTACTGGAAAAACAGTAGACCTGGCAAGACTGCTTAGAATTGTTAGAATTAGCGATGGGCGAGTCGAGTTATTTAACCCGGTTAACTCCAGTTACTCCTATAACGAGTCAACTAGAGTTACTTTTTCATGACCTGCCCCGCCCGCCGCCGCCGTCGAACCGAATACTTCATTCATACAGCACGTCGGTGACCCTCAGAGCACGCTCGAGTCGCGAACGATGGGCGAGTCGAGTTATTTAACTCAAGTTATTCCCACAACGTGTCAACTCGAGCTATACTTTGTGAACTCGAATAGCAAAAATTGTTAAAATAAAGGCCAGCTATGATATGTATGACCGATGAGCATGTGTACATACGTAAGTGTGACCGAGAAGTCAGAGATCCATAAATAAAATTCAAATATAAAAAAATTATAACAATTTTTCTGCACCGGACATTGCATCTTCATCATTTTCTTTATCACTCTCGTCTTCATTTTCACTCTCCTCTGAAAATCGTTTGTGTTAATAATGAATCGTTCCAATAAATCGTCAAGAACGGCATCGTGACCATGAAACTTTTTTCTTCTTTTATTGCGTGGTCACATACATTTTTCCATTCTTGTACAGTGATAGTGTCAACTTTTTCTTTCGCTAACCTCATAATTGTATCCATATTCATCGACACGTTTTTTTAGCCACGTATCCTTTTATTATTGCCCATATATTTTCAATTGGGTTGAAATCCGGGTGGCAGGGTGGTAGACGAAGGACGCTGTGACCATGTTCTCTAAGTAAAGTGCCAATTTTATATTCAATAAATCTTTGTTTGTTTTGCAGTATCAATTGATAGAGTTGTGGTTTAAGCATCGTTGTAGAGTGATCGATATTGCGAAACTTGAGCCAGTCAATCATATCTTGTTTACGACTATTTTTTTTTTACTAGTTGGGAGCGGGATTTTCTAACGAATTGTGGTAAAATGCATTGTCTATCACCACAACGCTATTGGGCTTTAAATTTGGAATTAATTGCGTTTGTAACAATTTCGTGTAGTTTGCTGCATTCATATTATTATGGTAATCACCACTTTTTTTATTTACTTTGAACATCAGCAGTGCATTTGGTATGAAACCGCCGGCGTGAACTATTATTAAACGATTTCCTTTACAAATTGGTTTCTTCAAACCAGAAGTGCTGCCATCTGAATAAGATTTTGAAGAAGTGTGAGTCGTGTCTATAAACGACTGGCCGGCCCTGAATGCGATATTCGGAAATTTTAATCAAAAAATGTATACGTAGATAACGTACCTCATGTTTTTCCATTAGAACTTTTCTATTATCTTCTGTTCTTTTCCATTTAAATCCTAAAAGAGACACTTCTTTACGCAATAACCAAATTAAACCTGGATAGTTTATTTCTCTTTTCAACTTTCCATGTGTTCGTTTCATAGTTGGCACCTCTTTATCAGTAATGTGAAAGTTGTGAATAGTTCTTCGGATTACCGCTTTATCAAAATCGTCAATGATAATGATATCTGGTCTTTTTCGGAGATTTAAATTTGCTTCCGTCTTCCAAAAGACGTTTACCTTCCAATAAAACTCTTTGGACAGTGGTCAGCGGAATTCCCGTCGATGTCGCTACCAATTAATTGGGCTGATGTAGTGACACTTGACATGTTTTTGTCGTTCATGTCTTTAAAATAACTATTTCAATTACACAAAATTTCCTTTTGCTTGGCTATTTAAAAATTTTCGTATACTTCGTTTATTTGTGTTGGCAGCCATTTCACTAAAAAATCGAACACAAAAACAAAATATTAAGAATTAAACACGTCACGCTACTACCAGTACAAGAGGTGAAGTGTGAAAGGTGCGCGGCGGAGTTGCGTCGTGCGAGGGATGCACCGCGCCTCAGGCCAATTGACAAAAAGCAGTTTAAACCGATTTAAACTTAGCAAAGGACGTGTCGCCCTCTAGGTCGACGTCACACCTACACTATCTATGTGCACTCACGCAAAGCTCAGCTTAGGCCTCGCGGACTGTAACACGAGTTGAAACAAATGCAAGTCGTCGCATTGCTACTTGAAGGGTCGTATTCCAGAACTCTGCTCAATGCTCAAGTCAGGCCTTGAGTATTATTCAATCACTGGAAATACGACCCTAATGGCAATGACTTATTAGTATGATTTCTAGTGCTCTAAATCATACTCAAATCCTTAAAATCCTTAAATTAAAAAATTAAAACTCTACTCAATGCTCAAGTCAGGATTTAAGCAAACTTGAGTATGATTTCAAGCACTGGAAATACGACCCTAATGGCAAGGACTTGAGTATGATTTTCAGTGCTCACTGCAATACTCAAGTCCTGACTTGAGTATTGAGTAGAGTTCTGGAATACGACCCTGAATGTGTTTTGAATGTTACCAATATCTTTTTAATTTGTGATG